TTTATTATAATATTTATAACAACAACAACAACAATAAAAATATTATAATGTGAAAAACACCGATTTAACCCCATTTATCGATTACAGAATATTCAATCACCTTTTTTCATACTTCATAATAATAATAATAATAATAGGGATAAAGTTTATATCGTGAGGGATAAAAAAAAAAAAATTTACACACCCTTTATAAAAAAATTTTAATTTGAAAAAACGTGTCTTACTTTTATAATTACACCAGAATCAAAATTTTAAATATTAAGGGTAAACAATTTTATTATGAATCATTTATTAACAACCCCTTGTAAATGGGGGGTGGGGGGTAATGTTATGGAGGTAATTTCCGGTAGTGTGTTGAGCATTGATAGGAAAATATATACGAATATAAACCCTCTTTCTTTCTCTCCATTCGTTAATTAAAAAAAAGTACTTTACGAGATTTCAAATCAACAACAGATCTTTGGACAGACCCCCCACAAAATATTTATTACTGGTTAAAATAAAAACCACTTGATTTAGCTATATTGTGGGGAAGGGGGGAGGGGAAGAGGAGGTGTAAAAAATTAACGTCAAATAATTAAAATTAATAATCTCTTATTATTAAAAAAAAAAAATTTGTAAACAAAAAAAAAGAAAAATTCTATATGACGTCATTTATGTATATTTTCAAATTTCGTGTCAATAACTTTTTTTTTTCTTTAATTATAATTAATAATAATAATAATTTAACGTGTAAATAAAAAATTTTTTTACATTATGTGTCAAACTCGACACTTTTTTCTTAATTTTCTAATTCGATATTTTTAAAAAAAAAAGGGGGGGTAATGATACGGGGGTAAAAGGTCAATAAAGTTCAAAGAAAATTTTTTTTTTATCATCATCATCATCATCATCATTACCGTTGTCGTTTCCGTCGTCGTCGTCGTCGTCAATAAAATATATATATATAAAAAGTTTTGACGATTTCTTTTTCTTTTTCTTCTTCTCTTTTTTCTGTTACGCTATTGATCCCGTCACAATGGCGTCGTTTTTTCTTTTTTTTATTTCAAATTTCATTACACAAGAACAAAAGAATTTTTTTAGTTTCCGTTTTTGTATAAAACGGAAATGGTTAACTTATTTAATATTCCGTTTATATTATTTATTTTTTTTTTTTTTACAAATTCACAAAGAATACAAATATGTGACGAAAACTTTTTTAAATCGTTTACCGCTCCGACATGATTTTAATATTATTATCATTATTATTTACAGCTATCAGGTATAGCCATAATAGCAGCCGGTGCATACGTTCTTAAAGATGTCGATAATTTCAGTAATTTTGTTGAAAATTCAACATTGGCACCACCGGTTATATTAACAATTGCTGGAATAATTATTTTTCTCATCGCTTTTCTCGGATGCTGCGGCGCCATTAAGGAAAATTACAACATGTTGATGGCGGTACGTGAAAGATTCCTCTTCATTAAAAAAAAAAAAATTTATTAATCTCCATTTATATTATTTTTAATAACGTTCTACATAGTACATTATCATTATTATTATTATTGATAACGATTTAAAAAGAATGAAAATATAGGTTGGGTTAAAAGTTTATTTGTGGGCGTGTTGATTTGTTCTACTTTTTCTTTCAAAAAAAACACACGAAATAAATTTATTATTATTATTATTATTATTATTATTTAGTTTGCGGTCATGCTTTTACTCATATTCATAGTGGAAATAGCCGTGGGAATAGCCGCTGCAGTCAATAAAGAATCATTTAAGGATCAATTAAGAAAAGCAATGAAAGCATCCAAAGATAATTATGACGTCACAACGGCAGAAGATCGTAAAGTTTGGGCACAACTACAGAGTAAAGTAAGGGAATTCACGGGGGGTGAAGGGGATAGGGACAAAACGAAAAATTTTTACTCATTATTATTATTATTTTAAAAAATTAGTTGGAATGTTGCGGAGTCGATGGACCAAACGATTGGGTCATGGGTGGTTTGTATCCAGAATCATGTTGCAAAACATCTCAACCCTCCTCACCTGACAGATTATGCGGTCCCTCGAAGGAATACGTTTACAAAGATGGATGTTTTAACAAATTGAGTAAAAGGTTAACGGAAGGTTCGTTAATAGTTATGGGAGTCGGAATAGGTATTGCTCTCATCGAGGTAATTAATTAATTAACGGTTAATAAAAAATTAATTAATATTTTTGTCTTTGTCTTTCATTTGTCCATTTTTCTCTTTTTTTTCCAGCTTGCTGGTATCGTTTTGGCATGTTTATTGGCACAAGCAATTAAAAAAGAAACGGAAGAAGAAGAAAAAGAATAAATAATCCGTACATACAATAGCTACCATCACTTTTTTTTATCTCTTTCTAATAATAATAATGATAATAGTGAAAAGGTTCAAAGCACGAAAAAGGTTAATCGTTTCCAAAAAAAAAGAAAAATGGGGGCTTCCGATCAAAAAAAAAAAAAAAATTTTTATAATTAAAACTCCTGGAAATTTATTTTTACTTTGGAAGGAGGTGACGGGGGGGAGAAAGAGTGAGGGGAAGAAGGAGGAGGGGAAGGAAAACTTTTCGGAAAATGATTTCGGTCAAATAATAATAAAACACGGATTGATTATTTATTGATGTTATATAAATATGATTTTGATTTAAATGTAATTTGTTTTAACACGAAAAGGGTCAAAGGTAAAAATGTTTTTTTTTTTTGTGCGTTTTAAAAGGTTTATAAAAAGGTTTTGTTTACGGGAAAAAAAGTTGCCTGGAAACAGGTCGTCGTCGTCGTTATCGTCACAAAAAAAATTTTCCTTTGTTTTCCTATTCACGCGAATTTTTTTTTTTTTATTATTATTCGTAATTTTAAAATTTTCATTTTCTTTTGAAACAAAAGAAAAACAAACAAATTAATTAATCGATAAACAAATTAAATTCCAGTTTTTTCCAGTTTTCACAGTAATTTCAACCCCCTCACCCCCGGAAAACTCACAGATCATATACGATTTTTATTTCCTCATCGACGTCATCGATATTATTTTTATCAATATCCCCATCAAAATTTTTTTTTTTTTTTTTTTAAATTCAGGCTTCGATGATGATAATGATAATAAACAAAATGATAATTTTCAAAACGCATGATAATAATAATAATAATAAATGTAAATAACAATTCATTAATCAAAAAAAAAAAAAAAATTTTTTTTCTTTCTTTCTTTCTTTTTTAATGACCTTTAATTTTTTTGTTCCTTTATTACAACTTTTTTTTTTTTAAATAATAATAATAATAATAACAAATTATTACAACAACAAAAGAAAATACAATCATAATAATAATAAACAAAAAAAAAAAAAGAAAGAAAACACGAAAAAGGTGAAAAAACATTGTGTGCATATTCCATCCATATTATAATTGCAAATTTTCATGACTCCAGCCAGTTATTAAAACTTTTTTTTTTTTTTTTTGTATTCAACACACAAAAGATGGATAAAGGATGTATTATATGATAATGATAATAATGATAATAATAAAACAAATTTTATTTATAAAAAATATATATATTTATATTATTATTATTAATGAAAATAATAATGATAATGATAAAATTTACATTTAAAATTTAATTTAAAATTATTAAAATTTTCATTTACATAAACTATTTATTTATTTATTTTTTTTAAAATACTCAATAACAATATAATCTAAATTAATAATAATAATAATAATAGTAATAGTAATAACAATAATAATAATAATGATAGTAACTTTTAAAGTTACCACCACCTGTATGCTCATCACTTTCAATATTATTATTATCACTATTATTACTTCTTATTGTTTAAAACAAAATAAAAAAATGAATTTAATTTACTCCCCTCCCCCCTCCCTCCCTATTTTTTTGTTAGACTTTATCGACGTAACAAAATGAAACAAAAAAATAGTAATAATAATGATAACGAACGTTTGTTTTAAATTAATAATTAACGTAAAACTCTAATGGCAAATTATTTTTTTTACTTTTATTTTTGAATAAATTTTTCCATTTCGTCATCGATCAATCAATCAATCAATCACTCACTCATTCATTCATTCATTCGTACATTCGCTTACTTAAAAAACACTACTATTATTATTATTAATAATTAGAAAAAAAATATACATATATTCGTACGTAAAACATAAAATTAAAATAAAATAAAATACAAAAATTTTTACTATCATTATTATTATTATTATTATTATTATTATTATTTATAAGTAACGTAAAAATTCACACGCACACGCACACGCGCACACACACACACACACAATAAAGAAAAAAAAGGAAATTTTACTCAAAGGAAGATGGTGGTAGTGGTAGTGGTAAAAGTAGTTACACATACACAATGAGATCCACGCAATTTTCTCTTATAATTATAAATATTATTATTATTATTATTATCGTAATTGATTACGTCATCGATCGATTAAATAACAAAATGGAGTCGTCCCCATTTTCCTTCTTTGGTTTATTGCTATAGCGCGGACAATTCAAAAAAAAAAAAAAAATTAATAATAATAATGATAACGAATCCCCTTTTAATTCTCTTCTTCACATCAAAATTGATTCGGCAAAATAAAAAAAACGAAAAAAAAAAAAAAACAAAATGGCGGATTCGTATAAAATATTAATAAATAAAATAATTAATAATAATTGTAATAATGTCAACGACACCCCTCCTCTCCCCTCCCCCTTCCTTCGTTCACACAATAAGACACGTTCGGTTTTTTTTATTTTATTTATTTAAATTTATTAATTTTTAACAAACAAATAATTAATTAACGTTAATAATAATAATATTAATAATAATAATAATAATAATAATAATAATAATAATAATAATAATAATAGCAACAACAGTAAATTTTTATCTCCGGTCGACAAATATTTGATAAAAAAAAAAATTAATAATAATAATTAAGGCCTCTCCTTTTTATTTTTATTTAATAATAAAATAAATTTTCAAATCAACAATTATTATTATTATTATTACTATTTATTTATTTATTTATTTATAATTAATAAGTAAAAAATCGTAAGTACGAAAATTATTATTATTATTATTATTATTTGTTTTTAACTTATTATTAAAATTTCCCAACGATTACAAAAAACAAAACAAAAACAAACAACACAAACTGCATATTATTAATTATTATTATTATTTATGCATTCCTCGGGTTCAAAATTTATTTAATAACGTGTACGTTTATTATTGTGACGAGCCCCCCTTACGCTCCCCTCCACTCCTCTTCTCTCTTCCTTCCCCCTCGCTAAATTTTAACGAACCATTTTTTCTTATTTTTTGTTTTACCACCGACAAAATCCGAGTCTTTTATCGTACCTGTTGTCGTACCTGTTGTCGTACCTGTTGTAGTAGCAGTTTCGTCAATGTCCTTATCAGCATCCCTCCGTGATTTAGATAAATTTTCTTTTATTTTTTCCTTTTTCGTTTTTTTCTTTTTGACGAATTTCAATATTGATTGATGTGATTTAATGACGGCGTTGTTCGATTTTAACTTCATATTAACTTCTTCGGGCGATTTCGTTTCTTTTTTACCTGTCCAAAAAAATAATAAAATAATAATAATAATAATAAGTGATAATGACGTCAAAAAATATGATCTCAGAAGACTTTTTCTCTTTCTTTCTAAAACGAAAATGACGTCACGGAACGAAAAGGGGATTTTTTTTTTATCTTTTAAATTCGACAAACAGACGAACAAACAAACGAGACCGTTTGTAAGTTTTATTTATTTGGTATTCGGTATCGTTCGATTTTAAATTTATCAATAAATAAATTATGTACATAAACTCAGGAATTAATTAATTAATTAATTTTTTTTTTCATTTATTTTGGGTATTTGTAGTCGGAGGAAATTAATTTATTAAAAAAATAATAATAAAAGTCAGTGGAATTATTTATTTATTTATTTTTTATTAAAAAAAAATGGCTACATGAAATTACTAAAGTACCAGAGCCGGTTTGTTATTGTGTGGCACAACAAACCGTTTGTTGGTATCTCAACATCGGTCAAAATGTTTCTTTTTGTTTTAATTTAATTTTCATTCACACGTTTTCCATCCTATGGGATTCCCTCCCTCCTCCTCCTCCTTTTCCTCCTCCCCCTCGTATATTTTTCATTTCGAACACGACCTTCTCCCCTCCTCCTTCCTCTTCCTCCCCCTTCTCTACCAAGCTCACCATCTTCTCATTTAAATAATAATGATGAGACTCCAAAATAGAGAGTGAGAGAGAGAGAGAGAGAGAGAGAGAGAGAGAAAGAACAGGAACGCGAAAAAAAATTAATAATAATAATAATAATAATAATTTTTACAAACTATGGGAAAACTTCTCTCAGGTTCATGTGAGAGAGAGAAAGAGAAAAACCTGATTTTTGCCAACTCGGTTACGAAAATGGTAGTCAGAAAACTTAAGGCGGTAATAAATAAAACTTTTTCAACTTTTTTTTTTTTTTTCAGATCGTTTACCCTGAAAGTAATAATTTTTTTTTTTTCTTTTTTTCCATTTTTTAAATTTACGTAATGGGTCTTTCTTCTCCTTCCCCTCTCCCTCTCCCTCCCCCCAAAAAAAAATCGTGCTTGCGAATTGCATCGCAAAAAAAAAAAATCGTTTGGGTAACGAACAAAACTTTTTTTCCCTTCCCTTCCGGCAAAAGATGGAAAAAAAAAAATTAAAATTTCCAGACAATGCGATGATTGGTATTATTATTATTATTATTATCATTATTATTAATATTATTATTACCATTTTCTCTTCTCCATAAAAAAAAAAAAAAAAAAAAAAAAAAATCTAAATAAACGCTCGGCTGGGGGGGTTTCGATCGTAAAAATAAAAAAAAAAAATAAAGTAAATAATTTTAATTTAATTATTTATTTATTTAAAAAAAAAAAAAAAAACGAGTTTCATTTATTTATTATTATTATCATTATCATTATTATTTTTAACGAGTCTCGTAAGTAAAGAGAAAAAAAAAAAAAAAACAAGTCGGAAAGCTCGTCGGATGAGTTTTTCTTTCCAGGAAGATCAACAGGAATCATAAAAAAAAAAAACCTTGGAATGAAACCACACGTCGAAGGAGGGATCGTCATCAAAATGAATGACGTAATCAAAACCTCTTTTTTTCCCCGGTGACTCCCCATCCTTTAAGCGTACCTGGTGTGCGAGGGGGAAAAAGAAAAACAACGATAATAATAAAAAAAGTTAATTTTTTTTTCATTTTTATCGAGTCGAATGTACGTGCTCTGTTGATTTCGAATTATTTCGATATATCGTCGTTTTATCGATCTATCGATTGATGGATCGATCCATCGATCCATCGAACAATGCGCGAAAAAATAAAAAAAAAAAAAAAATTAATTTTTAAACATGTACGTGAGATGTCAATTATTGCACCCTTAAGCATTGTATAACCTTTTACCAGTAGCCGTGGTATCAATATTCCTCCGGGTTAAATTATAGAAATAGAAATAGAAACAAAAAAAAAAAAAAAAAAAAAAACTTCTCACGTTTCCAGCCGGTTTTCCTTGAAGGATCCCCCCTTCCCTTGCCCCCTTCACCCCCTTCCCGCGCGAAAAGCAATTTTATCATTATTATCAATATTATTATATTAATAATTTTAAAAGAGTCAGGTTCGTATGGATGGGCGCGTATTTACGTGCGCTTAATTGTTTATATATATTTCTGTCGGTGAAATAAACTTTGCCTCGTGTCAAGGAAATTTTTTTTTTTTTTTTCAATTTTAATTTTAAAATTATACTCACCTGCGAATACTTCAAGGTGATGATGTATACTTTTGTCTTCTTCCACTTCTCTTTTCCTATCCATGTCAAGGCATTCAATTATTTCGTTTCGCCTTTCAACAACCTCAACCAACCTTCTTATCAATTCTTCTTCTTGAGCCTTATCCGAATCCGTTTTGTTTCTTTCCGGTCTTCCCATGAGACATCGGATTTGATACTCGATATCCGCGTGTTCTTCTTCGAGTCGCTGTTGTCTACGCCTGAAAATCAAAAAATGATTTAATTCGTAACACTCTTCCCCCCCTTTTTGCCTTTTTATTCTACCGTCCCCCCCCCCTTAATTCGTGACTTACAAATACATGAGTTCCGCTTGCCTCCGGAAAAGTTCGTTTTTTTGATTGACTATGTCGAACAATTGCAATATCATTCCTTCCACGTCTTTACCGGACATTTCGCTTCCCTCCGATTCCTGCGTCGAATCATCCGTTTCGTACATTCTTATAGTTTGTTCTATGGTAACTCCTTGCCTTTCCAATTCTCTCTGTTGTATTTCCAAGTCTTCCAATTCTCTGTAAAATTCAGGGAGTGGCAAAGGCGTGATCCTTCTTCTTTGCGGTATGGGTAAAGCCGGAGCTTGACCCTTTTTCCTTTTCCATTTCCCGTACGAACTCTTATCAGGTACCGATAAATTTTGCTTCATTTTATTTTCGTAATTTTTCTCCTTTTTATCGCTCATGTAATCACCGTCTATGTATTTGATGGGCGGCGGAGGAGGAGCGGGTTTTGACTTTCTGTGACTTCTGATCGATGCCGTAGGAGACGAGCTTCTTTGGGAAGACAAAGACTCCGGAGGACTCACCGGATACTGTAATGATTTGGTACCCGCCGGAGGTTGAGGTGCTGGACCCTTTTTTTTCCTAATGTAACTTGCCGTCGATCCTAAACTATTAAGGGAGCTAAAAGATCCGTATTGAGACCTGGAAAATGGCGAATCTTCCTCGGGAACTTTTAAAAGAGTTCTCGGAGCCGGAATTGGTTTTCCACCAGTTTCGTCATCACTACTCGGCTCGCCATCGCTCCAAAATGGATTTAAATTCACTTTCGGAGCTTCGATTATTTTTTTACCTGATTGATTATACGATGTTTTACGTGGAGTTTTTGTTCTGACAGCTGGAACTGGAGGTTTTCGAGGTGATGGAGATGACGTTTTCGCGGAAACGTTCTTTTCATCTTCTTCGAAATCTGCAAAAGGATTCAAATCTTCCGGATAGTTTTCTGCTTTTTCATGAGCGTCATCGATTGACATTGACTCATCTTTAGTTGACACTAAAGATTCATTTATTTCCGTCGCTTCCAGGCTCTCTTTTTTCTTTTTTTCTTCTTCGCGAGCGGTAGAACCATTCGAATCAAAAGGATTCTTAACATCATCATCGTCGTCGACGTTGTTATCAATGAGCACATCCTTTTCTTCTCCAACTCCTTTTTCTAATAATAATTCCTTCTCATCGGATGGCTTTTCACTTAAATCATCTTCAAGTTTTTCTTCAACTTTTTTCACGGCATCACTTATAACACTATCAATAATGTCAGAAACGTCAGCTAAAAAACTTTCGGGTTCGTGATTAAGGAGCGACAAAGTTTCCTTAAAATCTCGACCCAACAAAGTTTTGATTTTAGTATTCAATGTTTTTTCCAAACTGGCAGTGGAATGCTGGTTTACATCAACACTTTTAACTGGCGGCACACTATTCACCAAATCCGAACCATATTCCAACGATGTTCCCGCGGGATTTAAAACTCCGACGGACGGTGGATTTTCATTCGATTTCGAATCCACTACGGATTTGGTATCGGGAGAATCCGATGAACTACTATTTATTAAATTTCCCAAAAATTCTTTCATGCTTGAATTACGATTTTTCACAAATGAATCCAAAGCAATTTCAAAATTCAAACTATAATCATCATCACCATCATCGTCAGCAACATTTTTCACGGGTTCGTCAGCAACCGATGACGATTGTTCGTTTCCGAACGTTTTCAACGTTTCATTTTCCGACCGAGAAATGTCGTTTTCTTTTTCTTCATCCGGACAAGTTTCGCAAACGAAATCTCCCGATTCGGTTTCGTAACATCCGACCAAATTAAGCTGATTTCCGCACCTTTTACAAGTGAAACAAGTTCGGTGTCGAAGTTTCCCACCGGCGACCAATCGCTCGGCTAGAAATACCGGCCGTCTACACGACCAGCACGTTTCAAGACGGCCGGAACCCACCTAAAAAAAAAACAACAACAAACCGTCAATAATAAAATCAATTAATAAAACAAACACAATCTCTCTCTCTCTCTCTCTCTTCAATGTCTATTTTTTCATTTGAATATTTAACTAGCATAAATACTAAAAACTAATTCTTAATGAATACATAAATAAATAAATAAATAAAAAACAATAAATTTCACGCACTTAATGCTATGAATTAAAATTTTTAAAAAAAAGGCCCCACTCAATCCTTTCCCCTCCGACTTTTGAAATGCATACGCACGCACTAACGCACGCACGCACGCACACATGCACGCACACAGAGCTCGGGACTAGAATTGACTAATTGCCTACAGATTATTAATAAAACAATAGGGCCAACCGATTAGACTTTTAAGTTTTCCTTTGCTTCACAATAACAATAAATTCAATGACATCCATTGTTTTAAAAATGTCAGAAAAGATAAACCGTTTTTCTTTTTTCTTTCCCTCATTTTTCCTCCTAATACACCATAATAATAATAATTTCTTTCGTTATTTTGTTTTGTTTTTTTCGGCGTTTCGAAAAGCTGGCACACAAAAATAACAAAAGCATAAGAATTCAATCACAATCCGGATTAATTTAAAAAAAAAAAAAAACATGACCGGATATCCGCTCCTCGATGTCCTCCCCTTCGTGACGTCAAATCGTTTTTTTTACCATTTTGGAATATTAATAAACCTTGCATGCAACTTTTTTTTTTTTTCACAGATTTAAAAATTACGTTGAAAAGAAAACCTGAATGACGCGTTTTAGAAAAAAAAAAAAAAAAAATGTTATGCGCAGGATGAATGTCTTTAAGGTACGTTCAGCTTTAGGGGAGGAGGGGAAACAACAAAAACAACAACAAATTACCCGCAAATAAATTATTAAGTTTCTTTATTGTCATTGTTATTATTTTAAATTTATTTTTCAAAAGTTGTCAGCATTGGTTTTTAATTTGACGAGTGACTAATTAATCATAACTTTCGGTTTTATAAAATGAGATTTTCCGGTAAAAAAAATTTTCCCAATCATTCCCCCTATCTAAAAATCTACGTAGCCTCCCCCCACCTAAATCACACCTAAAAAAAAAACTCATGACATCCCCTCTTCTCATCGCTCGACGGTTGTTCGTACAAACAATTAAAACAAACAAAAATTTTCCTACAAATTAAATTCGAATGGATGTCATCAACAAGATGACAAACAACAACAACAACAAAATGGTAAAAACAAACAAACACGCGCACGTTAACCCAAAACACAAATTTTCGCAAAAAAAATAAAAAATAAATCCTAACTCGTTGGTAAAGAGAGAGAGAGAGAGAGAAACAATGTCAACTTTCATTCATTCATTCATTCACTCAATCACTCAAAAATTATTTATTAACGTTTAAATTATCATTATTATTATTATTAATAATATTAATCAAAAGAGAAAGTTTTATTTTTATATCTTTCCACTTTTCACTAATAAAATACACATACATCGCGAGTGCGGGTGTGTGCGCGTGTGTGCGTACGCACATTTTCCATACGAAAAAAAGTAAATAAATAAATAATTTTATTGTTTTTGTTTTTTTTTATGTTAATAATAATAATAATTAACAAGACGAGTCTTTCGCATGAAAACAAGAAAAAAGAACTCGAGAGACGAGCCTAACTTTCTGGTTTATAATCACCTTGAAATTTTTTTTTTTTTTTTTTTTTGTGTAAATAAAATAATTGTTGTACACAATCCCGGATTTTATTATTGTCGAAGGTTATTCCATTTTTTTTTTTTTTAAGGAAAATAATAATAATAATAATGATAATAAAAACACATTCGGCGTTATGTCGCGATCGACCCCCGTATCGTCAAACGCATAATGGTCGTCAGTCAATCGGTACGTCCCTTGCGAGCTTACTAGGAGAGATAGTGAGATAGAGAGAGAGAGAGAGAAAGAGGGAAAGAGAGAGAGGGAAATACGAATCCTTTCTAATAGTTTTACGTTCCTCTTTCGTCGTAAAACGCCATTTTGAAAATTCGACAAACGGTTCGTTCGTAACCGTTAACCGGAAAAACTACATACATGTGCGTGCATATATACACTTGATACATATATGAGAGAGAGAAAGAGAGACTTATTTGTAAATTTATGTAAATGAGAGTGAAAGAAAGAAAAAGATCAAAACAGATGTACGTGAATGAGAGAGAGAGAGAGAGAGAGAGAGAGATAGACACACACACACTTATTTATTTATTAATAAGAACATGAAAGCGATGCTAAAATAATTTAAATGAAGCGTCTGTACGTGATTTATTCAATTTTTTTTCTTTCTTTCTGTCTTTCAAAGGTTCATTAGCACCGAAGGAATGATTGAGGTCTGGCAAAGAGTTAAATTTGTCGTCGTCGTCGTCGACATTGTCGTCGTTTATTTCACGCAACGATTACAAAAAAAAAAAAAACCGAATTTTTAATTAACTTTTTGTTTAAAAATCTCTCCAATCCCCAGTAATTCAATAAGCGTACGATTAAACCCACAAATCCTCATTGAGATTATAAAGAGAGAGAGAGAGAGAGAGAGAGAGAGAGAGAGAGTGGATAAAGCAAATTTGAATTTCAACGCACCAACCCTTCAACCGATCAAACAACAACCCCTTTTACTACTACCCCAATTTTTTGTCGACGAGGGGAGGGGGCCAGGTATGGAAATGACGACGCATTTAAAAAAAAAATAAAAAGCGTTTAAGCAAGAACGAAAAAGCGACGACATTAAAAAAAAAAAAGAAAAGATAAACAAATAATGTGCGTTACGTATATATGTATATAAATGTGTAAATTATTTACCTGCTAGCAGAAGATTTCAGGTTTGTACTGTCCCATCAGATCCATCCCGTCATCCTGAAGAAAACACATCACGAATGAATATACGATATATATATATATGATATTAAGTAGGAAGACGAGGAGGATGAGTAAGAGGAAGAGAAGGAAAAGGACTCGGGGAGACGGGGGGGGGGGGGTTTAAAAAAATCAAAAAGACAAAAACATCAACAAAACAATCGTACCAATTTAAAAAAAAAAAAAAAAAAAATTAATACTTAAAAATTTTTTTTTAATTTTTTGCCCGATCAGGTTGCGCTTAACAAACAGTCAAGAAAAAAAAAAGTAAGTAAGTAAGTAAAAAAAGCATACAAATACCTGATGAATCAACAACAAACAAACGTTTGCAACGCGACAAACAACCAAAAAAAAAAAAAAAATTAACTAACGTAAGTGAAAAAAAAAAAAAAAAAAAATTAATGAGATCGAAAAAAAATCATTTTTCACCAAAGCGACGAGTTTTAAACGACGACGAATAATAATTTTTAAATTTCGTTTCCGCTTCGCCTAATTCAAATTATTATATTAAATCGATACGAGAAAAGAAAATAAAAAAAAAAAAGGTACAAGGTTCAAGAAAACAATAATAATAATAATAATAATAATAATTTAATCAAGGCGAAAAAATAATAATAATAATAAATTAGTGTAAATTTTTTTTTCCGAGTCGTTTTACGTTTTTTTGTTTGTTTGTTCGTTCGTTCGTTCGTTCGTACGTTTGTTTGTTGTTTGTTTTTGAATTTATTTTAAATAAAATTATCCCACGAAATTAATAATAATAATAATAATAATAATAATAATTAATAATAATAATAATAATAATAATAATAATAATAATAATAATAATAATAAATTGCAATTACAGAAAGAGACAGTTGAGAACAAGAAAATTTTTTTTTTTTTTAAATCTTTTTTAGATAGGACGCAAGAAAAAGTTTTTATTTATTTTTTTTACGCACAATAATAATAATAATAATAACTAACTAACTAAATAACTAAATAATAATAATAATAGTTACAATGCTAACATTTAAATGATAACATTTACAAGAAAATAAGGGATAATTAGAAAAAGAAAAAAAATAAAAAATTGAAATTTAATATTTAAAAAAATGTCAGAGAAAGGGCGAATTCAATTTTTCCCTCCCTTTCCCCCTTCCCTCATCCCACAACAAATTTCGAAGGGCTTTAATGTCAAGGATGTAAATTTTCTTTTTTTTTTTTGGCTTTTTCCGTTTCCTTTTGTCTTTTTTTTTTTTACGTGCCTTTTTCTAATAAGTAATAATAATAATAAAATATCCACTTGAAATAATTTCACGACGTTGTAAAAATGCAAACATGACAAAAATTCTTTTTTTTTTTTTTTTTTTCAAAAGTCTTTTCCTCCTTGACGTAAAGAGGGGAGGGGAGGGAAGGGAAGGTGTGGGGAGAAAAAAAAGACAAAAACAATAACAGAAAAAAAAGATGACGTTAATTTTTTTTTTTTTTTAAATTGCTGTCGTTCAAGCGTTCGGAAATTATTTTTTAATTATTTAAATGTGCTTTGGCGTGTGTGTGTGTGTGTGTGGGTGTGCGGTACGAAAAGTTTGAACGATTCGAGAGCGATGGTGCTGCCATTGTAAAAAAAAAAACAAATGATAATAATAAGAATAATAGGTGTGACACACCCGTGAAAGTGACCCGAACTTTACCCCCCCGTGTTATGTTAATAAGCAGGCGGGAACAAAAGAGAATAAAAACAGTTACTGATTAATAAGTCCATAGAATTTAATCATCACCATCATCATCGTACTCCCACCCCCACCCACCCACTCACCCACTCATCCAGCGTGATTCATAATAAAAATAACAAAAAAATAATAATAATAATAATAATTTTTTGTTACCTTCAAAATAAAGGCAATCGACCCAAACGACACTGTTACCCATCAAACCAAAACAAACAATCATTATTATTAAATCAAAACATTCATATTATTCAATAATGTTCACTTCCTATTATTATTATTATTATTATTATTATTATTTACGGCGGCCATTTTAATTTTTTTGTCACGGTTGTAAACCTATCACTATCTCTCTCTTTCAGTCTCTTTTCCTTTTTCGAGAGAGAATAATAAAAATAAAAAAAATAACAGAAAAGTCAATTAAAAACGTTGAACAACCAACCAACGAAATAACGTTTGTTGGTTGGTTGTCTTGATATTCCGTTTGTTTATAAAAGTGTCACTCACGGTTAATTAT